ATCCACTGAGCTACACCAGCCAGGGCTCTTTGTTTAATTTCTTAAATTAGATGCATAGCTTACTGAGGTTTTTTTTTGGCGGGGGGGGGTTCCCTCTAATATAAGCCCATTAAGGGACACTTGTATTCCACAAATTTGTCATCTGTTGAATTGTTGTTATCAGTGAGTTTCAAGTACAATGTCCAGAAGCTATCCAGTTATGTAATATGAAAAATAGAGACATTATTGAAGAAGGTACAAGATACAAGAAACATTGTATATAGGATAATGACACCTCAGTCCCCTTCAAAGTAGGCACCTTGGGAACTCATACAGTTCTCCCAATCGCCATCAGCTGCCCCATCATATTTTCCTGAATCTCATGAACAGTCTGAAATATCTTCCCTTTCAAAGGTGACTTTAGTTTTGGGAAAAGCCAAAAGTCGCAGGGTGCCAAATGTGGGCTATAGTGGGGCTGAGTCACCTGGGTGATTGACGTTGTGCCAATAAACTCTGCATGAGACATGGTGCATGAGCAGGCACATTGTTATGATGATACTGCCAGTCTCCAGTTGCCCATAGTTGTGGCCTTCTGAATCATCTGAATAGTTTCCATGTAGGAAGGTTCAAGCTTAACACCAAATTGGATGCAGATTTGTTGCTCTGCTCAGTCATTTTGAATGTGGCAGCCCCATAGCACACATGCTTACTCAACAGTGTCTGGCAGCCCCACTGACTGGTACAGTGAAGTCATCATTGTTCACACATGAGCATTCCAGTCCACTCTCCTTGGCTGCCAGGTTACATCGATGTCACCCAAACTGTTCTCGTTATATTAACAGTGGCTGGACTTTTTCCAGATAGACCACATGTATTTTTTATTTCCATGATTCCTTTTTAAACCATTAATTGTGTAGTAATAGGTTCTAATTTCCACGTGTCAGGGGTATAATCAAATTTTTTATTATTGACTTTTAACCTGATGAATTGCAGTATGGATAGTGGTGTAGGTGAAAATGGTTTAAGACTTGCTTTATGGCCTGCTGTTTAGTCAGTTTTTCCATTTGTGTTTGAGAAGAAAAAATGCATTTCCTGGTTGAGTAGAGGATTAAAATTAGGTATCTTGACAGCTTTTCTTTTTTACCTGTAAATAATTGAGGAAGGTGTGTGAAAGTCTATGCTGATAGACTTGTCAGTTGCTCCCCATAATTCTGTCAGATTTTCCTTAATGTATTTTGAGGCTGCTTTTAGAGCCATGACTATTTAGGTCTTTTGTCTCCTAAAAATGCTTTTTCTTTCAAAGTCGTTGTTATCTGGTCTTAATATAGGTGTACTAGTTCTATTTGGGTTAGCATTCACCAGGTATGTTGTTTTTGTTTTCCCATATGTTTACTTTCAGCTGTGGCCTTATGTATATATATATAGATTATAGCTTTTTTGTACTCCACAAGTGGCTAGATTTTATTTTCAATCCAGCTGCTAGATTTAAGTGGATGGCTTATCAGCCCACTTGTGTTTATTGTGATTATTAACATAGTGCATTTTGTTTTTCCCATCTTACATTTTGTTTGATTTTGCTCTTATTTTTTTTAAAGATTTTTATTTATTTTTAGAAAGGGAGGGAGAAAGAGGGAGACAAACATCAACGTGTGGTTGCTTCTCATGCACCCCCTACTGGGAACCTGGCCCGAAACCCAGGCATGTGCCCTGACTGGGAATCAAACCAGTGAGTGACCTTTTGCTTCATAGTCTGGTGCTCAGTCCACTGACCCCACACCAGCCAGGGCTGCTTTTAATTTTTTTTCTCTTTGTTCTTGCCCTTCTCCCTCTTTTTTTTTTTAAAGTTGATTTTTTTCTACTTTCATTTTACTCCCACTATTAGTTGGAAGGGATAGAAAAGCCAAGGGGAAAGATAATGTTTCTGGTGGCAAGGGGAAGCTGTTGACCCTACAAGAGTGAGCACTTCTTTGAGTCCAGTGTCCTCCATACCAACTCTCATGTAGCTGCTACCGTAGCCCCAGATTATCTGCTCCATGACGCCCTACAGGAGTAGGAGTACAGCTGCTGTGTTGGTGGCATCACCAGGAACAGAATGGATTCTTTCTTTCATGCTTTTTAACTTGGTGTGGGTACCATTGGCAGAACCTTAAAAGGCATTCAGTCCTAGAAAATGTAGTTTCAGGCTTCTAACTGTAGTGATTTAGAGAAGTCTTTAAAGGAGGAGAACTGGGCTGAATCCCAGTGGACACAGCCTGCCACCTGACATGTTATTTATACTTCACTTCACAAGGAAGTATGTAACTGTGTCAGAGTGTTGGTGAATGTTCAACCAAGCATTCGAACTTACTTACCAGTAAGGTTCTAGAACTGTCTACACCTGCAGAAGGTTAAGAATGTTTATGTGCGATCCATGAAAAGTATTGTGGACATCTTGATAGTATTTATTATACTTTAAAAATGTAATTTTGATCATATTTCCCCTTTTAGTGTTAAATGCAGCTGAAATATGAATCTAGCTATGAATTTGCAGCTAGCAGGGACTTGTGATTATGCTATATATTTGGCAAGAAAGTTCAAGAATTGGTTTGTTTTTCTAGGACAAATTATACAATAAATCCTTTCTAAAGTTAAATGATATTTTCAGCTGTAGTTACTGTTTTGTCCAAAATATTTTTCTACAGTGTGTTATTTTAATTGAATTGAACATGAACATGCTTACTATTATATATAAATGTACATAAGTGTATTCCTTATTAAGAAAGTAAGGGAATACCAGATAAGATGGCATATGGTGTCTAGTTTTGTCCTGTTATATAAAATGGAAGAAACGTGAAGAAACACTGCAAACTAGGGCATGTTACTACCCCTATACCAAAAATTTTAAGAAATCTCTCAGGTACAGAGAACTGATCATTCAAATCAAACAAAGGAGGAAGTGGAGAGAACCTTTATTTCCTAGGCCCAAGAAAGCTGGATGGTTTTAGTGGAGGTGTGTGACTCAGTTAACACCCTTTAATTTGAAAGTTGTGGGACTGAAAGGTTGTAATCAGGTTGGAATCCTTTCCAACCCACGTCCACATTTAATGTCAACCACTTTAAAAAACTACTTTACAGTGGAATTCGAGAGTAGGTCCTTCCTCGCAATTCCACTTCTGTATTGTAGCACTACGAATACCCTGGGGCTATAATAGATGCCTGAGTGAAGGCTGAGCCACAGAGAAGAAACTGCAGTGACCTAGCTCACCTCCTACAGGAAATGGGTAACCTTAAATTTATATGATTTCTCCAGCTTCTGCAATCACTACAGTGTAGCCAATATAACTGAAATCGTTGAGAAATCCCAAAGAAGTCATGATCATATTGGAAACTTCCATGTCAATTCTCAGTAGGTTATTTACTTTGTTGTCTACTGTTTGAACATATGGATGGGCTGATTCTTCAGATGATTGCCAGCTGAGGTTGTAGGCTTGTGTTGTAGAATCTTAGTTTTTCAACACTAAAATGATAAACTATGTTGATATGCTTACACTCTGAAAGACACTCAGGGGTTGAGCCCATGGGAATGGTGGGTTTGCATCACACGCCTCATGCTTAAACTCTCTGGGGCATACCCATCTTGAATGGAATGACTGGCAAAATCACTGATGCTATTTAGAGTCTGTCTTGCGCTGAGCACATATGTTGAATTTTGTGTGCATCAAGTGAGTGAGTGGTGTGACCTCTGTACAGAAACTAAAAGTCAAAGTAGATGTATGAAACTGCAGCATGAAAGGAGGAAAGTAGAACACTTGAAGCAGAAGGAAGCATACATTTAAAAGGAGCCTCATAGAATAAGTATATTTGACAGCAGCAGCTATACTCTCAAAATCCTCTACAACTAAAAAATGAGAAGATGTAACAACACATGAAGCTATTCAAGATGAAGGAGATATTGGCAATATGTAAGGTGAATAAAGCTGATTATAAAACATATCTGAATTATAATTTTGAGGAAAATATATGCAAAATTTATTTCTTTAGTTCCTAGATTGATAAATGATTGACTTGCTATACAAAAACAGCAGGCTCAGCATTTATGGATTCAATATTCCTGCTTTTTGACTATTCTTAAATAACTTGGGAGAATTTGAGATATGCAGAGGTATGTCATTTTGCTGAGCTGGGATGTGGACATGAGTACATAACCTAGAAAGTGCACCTTGCCATTGCCCAGTCTCCTCTATCAGGGCAGCCGTTTTTCTTGATTCATTCTCTCTTCTGCAGTACTTGCCATAAAGCTATGAACATTGCTTCTCTATAAAATGTGGCTCTTGGGAAGAAAGAGGAGTTTATCAGAGCTGGTATTAAAAGTGGTCTTAAGACATTGACAGTTTTTGGTCAGAAAACATTTTTGATACATTAAAGAATAGAATCCTTAACCTGAACACAGTCATTAATTATAAGGGGATATTTGGGCAATAATACACACAGATGTGAAGATTGATGAGGGTGCTATTTCTCTCCTTTACAAATATTAAAGTCCTCTGTATGAGTTACGCAGGTGAAATGTGCTAGTAAGTAAGCTGCTGTTAAGTTGTATTAAAGAATCTCAGGAGCTTCCAATCATGCATGATTTTAGATAAATAGGTGATCAAAAAGATCTTTTGTATTTTAACCGTATTAAGATGATTTTCTAAATATGGGCAAAGGGCTGAAGAATTCCATGGAAGATGACTAAATATAAATGTATTATACATGACTGCAAAGTAATGGCAAGCAAGACTTCAGAGCTGAGCTATCGTGATATTTTTATCCAGTGTGTGGGGTGTTACACATGCATCACACGGCTATAATAGAGCTATCACATGGATCATTTGAAAAACAAGATAGAGATGTTTTAAAAGCTTCTCTGCTTGACTTCTTAGTCAGATGCTGCATTATTTGGCATCAGACAACTAAAGTCCAAATCCAGATATTAAAAGGTGAATTATTTTAAATAACTGAATTGTAGTAGAAAAGTAATATATTTAAAATTATTTCAGGAAATGGAAGATAAAGTGACTAATCCAGAGAAAGCTGAAGAAGCAAAATTAAAAGCAAGGTATCCTCATCTGGGACAAAAGCCTGGAGGTTCAGATTTCTTAAGGAAACGATTACAGAAAGGGGTAAGTTTTAATGTGTAATCTTCAAATATATGAATTCAGTGTGTCAATAGAGATTGTGAAATGGGTATCTGCGTATATAGTTCTGTGCCTTACTGGGATATATATGTGAGATATATGTATGTGTATAAGATATTATTTCTAACATTTTAGGTACTGTTCATTCTATACTTATAGGTAGATGGGAATTCAAAACCCCAGACTCTATCACTTTTAACTGTAAAGTATTTCAGAGATGTAGAAGGCTGCAGGTAATGATATCGTGGAACCCATGTACCACCACCCAGATTTAACATGTTTAAATATTTTGCCATATTTAGTTAAGTTTTGTCTTTGTAAGAAAGAAAATGTAGATATAGTTAAAAATCTACCACATGTGTTTGTATATCCCCTTTCCCCCTTCTCTCCAAAAGCAACCACTTTCCAGAAGCTGGTATTTATTCTTCTGCTCATGTTTCTTTTAATTTTTAATTGTTGTAATGGTGATTTCTACACAATATCAAGAGCTTAAAATACTTCTTATTTGGGTGAAATGATCACTTACACAAACATAGCTTACTGTCTCTCCTTTACATAATACATTTCACAGTTGCTCTGATACAATTTATTTACTGTAATTTTAGTAGTTCAAATTACTGAAAACATTTTTGAAATCTACCATATTTTGTGAGGTAGAAACCATTATTTCTCAAATGAGATCTGAACTGAGAATGTTAACGTGTTTATTCCTTAGATTTTTTTTAACTTTTTTTTTCTTTATTAAAAAAGTTAAGGGCTCCATCTACAGTCCAAGCACATTTAAATTATTTACCACACAGGGAGCAGAGAAAAATGAAATATTGTTTAGGGAAGAGAATTATTTATTGAATCGGATGCCAAATCATGTTTCTCCCTAAATAAAGACCTTAAATATACTGGTATCTGCAGCTTGATTATAAAAACATGTATGTTTATATATGTATACTAGCTATAGTTATATATGGATTATTTTCTCAAGCAAACCAAATTTCAAAAGGATATTTTTTTCCAGCTTTACTGAGATATAATTGACATACAGCATTGGGTAAGTTTAAGGTATACTGTGAGATGACTTGATACATGTACTTGTGAAATCCTTACAACAATAAGTTAACAATTCCTTTACCTCATGTAATTACCTCACATAATTTTGTTGTTATGGTGAGAACATTAAAGCCTTGCTTTCATTAGCAACTTTCAAGTGTATAATTGGTTAACTATAGTCACTATGCTGTCCATTAGATCCCTGTAATTTATTCATCTTAACAATTGAAAGTTTGTACCTTTGAACAGCATCTCCCCATTTCCCCTACCCCTTAGCCCCTGGCAACCACCTTTGCATTCTGTGTTTCTGAGTTTGATGGTTTTAGAGTCCACACATAAGGGAGATTGTGTACTCTCTTTCTACTTAATCAAAGTACAGTCATCTTTCTACTGTCAGTGTTTTATTTATAGCCCAAACAGAATTTATTATCTTTTTAACTTTCCTGGCTTTAAAGAAGCTAACTTATCAATAATAGTTCATGGAATTTTTTTAGTATTTTACATGAAAGAATAACATTCACAGCTTTGAAATAACAGGATGACTAGGAAGAATTATACCAAATGTAAAACCTTTGTTCCATGAGAAGTAATTTTAGTGAAGTTATTATAAAAATAATAGTTGATATCTGTAATACATAAAGAGATCTTTCAAATATACCAGAACATTAAGGAACCCCTACATAAAGGATTTTAACATGAAACATATTAAATGCCAAGAAAAATATTTATCCATTGTAGAAATCAATGAAATGTAAGAAAGAACAATCATACCATTTATGTACATACAACTAAATTAGAGAAATAGTTAAAATAATACCCACTGGTGAGGTTGAAGTTGCATGTTGCTAATATGCTCTTTGCTTTGTGTAGCATTCAAAATTATTACTGTTGCTTTGGAAAGGGATTTGAATGAAGATTTATAAAAATGTTCATATTCTTTGAGTAATTGCTTATGAATTAGTTCAAGGGTATAATTCAATATAAAGAAAATGTTTAAGTTTGAAAATATTTTTTGTAGCTTTAAATATAATTAGAAGCAGCATCACTACTGAAGAGCAGAGATACATCAACCAAAGGTTATCTCAGAGTTAGTGTTGTAGGTATTATAAATAGTTGCAAATGAGAAAATGCCACTGAATCAAGAAATAAGTAAACAAAATCCTTCTGTGTTAAAAGAGTTGATGTTTTTAAAGCAGTGTGAATCACACAGTCCTGGGTCTTAGTTTCTCTCTGTTGTAATAGCAAGCTGGTAAATTGCATTGTATCTTTAAGTAGTTTCTTCTTAATTTCAGAGAATTGGTTGGATGTTATTTATCTGAGGTCCCTTTCTGTTTCATTGTATTTGTTAATGTTATTATGAGATGTCAAGGACTGACACCTATTTTGGCCTTATCGGCAATATTGTGTACATAATGACTATGTAGACTGTCAGAGCTGGGTGGAATATCAAGAAGCAGTCTTCTAGTCCATTTTTTTCCCTATTTGTGGAGTTGGTGAAGTCCCAAGAAAACCGAGGATCCAGTTTTCAGAAACATGATCTTACAAATTCAACATTATTGCTTAGGTGATCACTTAGCACAGTTATATAAATCCTGACGTAAGTGTGGCCCCTAAATTTGGGTGGGAGGAGACTTTTATAAGATTGTCATCCAGGTGATCCAGATATGTTTTGTAATTTTTTTCAAAGATTTTCAGTTAAATAACACAGAATTTATTCCAAAGTGTTCAGTTCAGGGCAGCTTTCCTGTTCTGTTAATTAAACTCTGGGACATTGAAACACAGGCTTTGGAGAGATGATTGGATGGATAGAAAGCATTGCTCTATTCATTTACCTCCCAGCCTACAAAAATGAAAATAAATAAATAAATGAAATAAACTTAAACAAAATGGCATTGCACAGCATAAAGGTAATGGTAAAATTCATGCTGATAATTAAACATTTTTTAACTGTGAAAAAAATATACAGAATTTAAAAATTGTTAAAGATGACGACTAATGCTGCTTTCTCACACTGCACCTGTCCCAATATGAGAAACATGGACCTGGTTTATCTGCCTAGAGAGCTATAATTGTTAAGCACTGATTTTAGTTTTTTCTGTAGCCACACAAAACAAATTTAATTCCTTTTCCCCAAGGAGAGTAGCCTAATCTACAGTTACACAATGAACTTCTGCTTACTATAAAATAATTATCATTAGAAACTAACTTCATTACATTGAGGACAGTCTGCCTAAAATTTGCACTGTGTGTGAAATATTTCATTTTCTGCTTTTGACTCAGTAAAAAATTTGGCAGGTTGCTGTTCCCTGGATGCTACTAAATTTAAGTAGTAGCTCTCTGTAGTACATAGAAATTTTGAGATTTTTTTTCACTGTACTCATTTTAAAACTTGCAGAAAATGAAGCTGCAGTAAGCCTTAGAAAGGCCTGGTCCTTGTATCCTTGTTACTGCTCAATGTGTTACTTGTATAGTGACACATGAAAAAAATGATTTCTAACTTTAGACTCTTTGACCTTACACTAGATCTGACTTAATCAAAGAATAGTCTCTTGGAGGAAGGCTGCCAAAGACACCTTTTCCCAAACCGCTCAACAATCTTGTACTGCTAAGCTCTAAGTTCACAGCTACTTCATTTACCACTTGAGGTATTCTTGAAGTCTCAGAGAGAATATTTGTTTTTTTTTCCCCTCACTCTTTGTCCAGCCCTCATCTCATTCCTGGATTATTCCCTCTTGCCTATTCAAGATTGAGGTTAGTTTACCCTAGTCTGAGCACTGATACCACCTTGTATACTTAAAACAGTATAATAGTTTATTTATTTGTCTGTTGTCCATCTCTCCCCACTCAGCACAATGCTTCATGTATAGCAGGCACTCCACAGAAGTAGGCTAAACGTGATAGGTAGAAGTCAGAACCCAAGCAAAAATTTATCTGTTTTCACTGTGGAACAGATAACTTAGTATAAGTTACTATATTACAGTTGATCTTTAGCTTTCATTCTTGTTTCTGCTTTAGTGATTGTTGTTAACCTGATTCATCCTTTCAGCTTCAAAGAGCAATAGTTGTACATACTCAGTGTCTTAAGTGAAAAATGGAGTTGTAGGATAGGGATGTGTATTTTAAGTGATAATTTTTAGTGAGCTTATTTTTGCCATTACCCTAGCGTTTATATTTTATCCTTAATTTTTTTAAGATTTTATTTATTTATCTTTAGAGACGGCGAAAGGAGGAAGAAAGAGAGGTAGAGGAACATCACTCTGTTGCCTCTCACACACCCCCAGTGGGGGACCTGGCCTGCAGTCCAGGCATGTGCCCTGACTGGGAATGGAACCAGTGACCTTTTGGTCCACAGGCTGTTTGCTCAGTGCACTGAGCCACACCAGCCAGGGCTAACCTTAATTTTTATTTAGTTAACTACTCTGGTTCAAGTAAATGATTTAAATCCTTACAGAAATGCTTATCCTAGATGACAGTACAACTTTAAATAATAGTTCTAATAACTATAAGGTTGATTGAAAGTGGGTGGCACATCCTAAACTCAAGTTGGTGAATTTATTTTATTTTCAAAATCATTTAAGCAAGAATATCAGCCTCCTTTTTCCATTAGTAAATGAAAGGTTTGCCTTTCACTCTTTTAGCCCAGGATCATTCATTCCTGGATAGTTTCATGAGGAAGCTGATGGCAATCTGGAGGATTCAAGACTTGAAGATCAAGTGTTGTTGCCTGACTTCTCAGTTGCTGACCTGTGCTAAAACTCAACACACAGGCATAGCTATTTCATCTAATATTTGTTTTTGTTTAAATTTGTAAGAATAACTTAGTTTATACTGACAATATAGAGTCACATCTACATCTTAAACCAGTGTAATTGCATATAAAATCTTTTAAACTCTAATTTTTTTTCTTGTAGCAAAAATATTTTGATTCTGGGGATTACAACATGGCTAAAGCAAAAATGAAGAACAAGCAACTTCCTACTGCAGCCCCGGATAAGACAGAGGTCACTGGTGATCACATTCCCACTCCACAGGACCTTCCTCAACGGAAGCCATCCCTTGTTGCTAGCAAGCTGGCTGGCTGATTAAAAGAGCTGAACTGCATGCATCTTCTAATTGCCATTGTTTTCCCTTAATATGTTACTTCCCCGCTTTTTATTTTGTTTTATTCACTAAGTCATTTGAGAGTGACAGCTTTGCAGGTAGTGGTAGTGTGTGCTGCTATTATAAGGGAAGATACATGTGTAGAGTTTTTGATTAGCTTAACAGTGCACTGATGGAGAGAACATGTTAGAGCAACATAAAGTAATCTACTTGAAAATAATTGTATATATTACCTAACTCCTAGTGTAGGACTGGTCATAACAAACTACCAAGCAAGTTTTACAATTTTAATGTTTTGGCTTTCTTTAATTCATCCTAATTATAGCTTTGTGTGTTACTCTTATTTAATTAACCTTTACTGTATTGATTTCTTCTGTATCTTCCTTTTGGATTTTATAAAACAGAAGTTTAAGACCACAAGTTGGAAGAAAGGTCACATATTTCAAACACCAATAGATGGGGCTCCAAAAGATTTGTATTTCTGTGCTTGAACTTGAATGGCCTTAAACCTGATTCAGCTTTAACAATAGAAGTTTACTTGGGCAATATTTGCCCATTCTGGTGTAACTTATGTGACCCTAGTGCTTAACAGCTGCCATTGAAGCTAATGTTCTCCTTCAGTTATATAGTTACAATACCTTTTGTTGTTAAAGATATGAATGAAGTATGCATGTGCATCGACTGTTGAATTCACTTTTGTGCCATTTTTGTAAATACAGTAGTTTTGCACAACCTCTCCCAAATGTCTGTATTAATTTCACATATTAAAAAATAGATGATGTGCCAACCAGAAGCACAAAAGTTCCTACACAAAACTCTGTATGCCATTAGAGCTTTTGTAAAGTAAGAGTAGTTTACAGTCGTGGGCTTATAGAATACCAAACTGAAATCTTTCCTCAGTCTGCCATAGACTTAAGCTTTTTCATTTGTTACCAATATCCATGACATTCAGTGGCCTTGTGCAAATACGATATGTTGCTTAGGCATATCTTTTGTCCTATGCAGAACATTTCATTTTGACTTTTATGAAAAATTGCAATTCATGTAATTTATATAAACTTTTTAAATGTAGAAACTTTTTACTTCCACAATTTTGGGGACACTAGAATAAAAGGCTTCAATACTCTGCGTCCTGTGGCCCCTCCCTCCTTTTTTTTTAATTGCTTCTTTGACTCAAATCATGTTGGCCTGTGCTAGTCAGTCTATTTAGAAGCATAGTGTATCCTTACTCTTGAAATTTGCTCTGCTGAATGCTGTTTTATGATGATGTTTTCCCTATAACTTCAGTTAACCATTCTTATTCCTGTATTATGTCTAATATTTGACAGTTGTTTAAATAAAAAGAACTTTATAATGAAACAGATACTTCAGAGGACTGGTCCAGGGACCTATGTCAGGATGAGCTGAACTGGTAAATAATTTTAAGTAATTATGATGAGCTTCATGTATTAGGTTTATGACAATTAGAGCAATTTACATGATAGGTGGGACATACATTAAAATGTTTAGATATTTTGCTTCTATAGATACCACTTTAATAAAATATCAATTTAATTTTACTTGTTTTTTTATCTAGTTAGTAAGGACTTGAACAGACTTTACTGAGACAAATTTACTGCCCCTTTAGGAGCTCTTCCCATAGTCGTAATGCCGCAGCGTGATAATGATCAGTAATCTGAGAGGATACTGTTTTTCTCTTCGTCTTTGACTTGCATATCCCTTCTCTTGAATCCAGGCATCTTCTGGATCTTGGCTCCATTTGTATACTGCTTTCTTATGACCCCAAATCATCATAGATGGTGCCTTGAGTATTGCACCTGTACTTAAAGACAGCCTGATGCTTTGAGGAAAGCTCACTGATTATCTTTCATTTCTACCCATCCCAAAAAGCAGAAAAGCACCAAAATCAGTAGTGCTAATTTGCAATGTTAAGAAATAGGACAAAACAGGTTACTCTACAATATGTGTAATTATTGTAGGGTCAAATTAAGAATTATAAAATAGTGCTCACTTCAGCAGCACTAAGATTGAACGATAGATTAGCATGGCCCTGTGTAAGGATGACACATTCATGAAGCATTCCATATTTTAAAGGAAAAAAAAGAATTACAAAATACCCCTGAAGTAGAATTTCTGTAATATTTCTAGTCTTTTTAATGAATATGTATAAGCTATCACCATTAAGTCTACACATTGGAGAAGATTAATCTGACATATCAGAGACCATGTTGTTCTTGACCGTGATAAGACTCCTGCTGTGACTCCTGTGGTTTGTGACACGTGATGTAACCTCTGCCTGAATTTTAGTTTGTAAAATACAATGCTGATATTTAACCTACCTCGAAACTTGAGGATCTGTGAAATACTGAGTAAGTGCCCAAAATGAAATATTGTTGATTGTCTTTTTATTAAAAGTAAATTTCCTCATTAAACCAACCTGCCTTCTGTAAAGTCACAATGCTTAAAATCTCAGGAATTTCCATTAGGAAAGACCTGTCATTAAGGATTTGTAGGTATAATTGCTTAGCCTCTACTATTGGTGCTCGGGATAAAGAGGTTTTAAACTTTTCTATTTTTGGTTCTGCCTCAATGATCAGTTTATTGAAGACATTTGCAGGCTGTTTCACCATTGCTAGAATGAAGATTTTGACTAGATGAGTTTAATCATAATCATTCATTTCTATGGTTTCAGAGTTGTGATTTGAGAAATAGCTTGTTTTAATCACTGTCCTGTTTATTATAAATTAATGCTGAAGTAAAGCAGAGATACCAAATACTTCATGAAAGTATTGACTAACGTCTGAAATAAATTACCTGTTTCATGTCTAGTAACTCTTACTTGATGGTACAATTTTGAGAAACACTTTTGAAAGCTATGGCTGACTAAAATAATTGTAGCTCCTGGCATTTGGGATGGTAATGATTGGTGGATTGTTTTTGATGAACTGGAAGGAGCATGTTTGCCTTATTTACAAGTTATTCAGTCCTCTTGTGCTGCTGACCTAAAAATATGTCTTAACTATTCATCAAGGAAGGCAGGTCTCTACTTGTTATTATACTTCAATAGTTGGAATTAGTTGCTCTTTACTTGATGTGACAAAACCATACCTCTGAATATATAATTGATACTTTTTACCAAATCAGACATGTATTTTTTTTTTCAATCCAAATTAGTGGAGTTTTATCAAAGCTGAAATGTAATCTCAAACTGCTCTAAACTTGGTGTTTCGTGAGTCTGGGGCAGGCAGCCATAGGATGAACACATCTGAGTGGCAACTGAAGCAGTTTTTCTGGTGGCCTTCTCATATTCCCCAATATTCAAACACATTTCCACTCATCATTTTCCTCCTGCACCTCATTTTACTTCATCCCTATCCTGACCTCCTAAGTCCCTGATGGCTTTCCTTAAATGGTGTTTAAGGCTGATGAATTATCATTCCTCACTATCATTCCTAATAGACAATTCAGTTTTCTAAAACACTAGTCTAATCTGGAAAATGACTAATTTGAGCCACTGTTCCAACTCTGCAACTCAGCATACACTGCCAGTCCTTCCCACCACACCTTGTAAATTGAAACCTCATTTTAAGATTGTTAAAATAAGGATAAAAACACCAATTTTAATAGTTTTACTAGTTTTGGTCTTTTAAGTAGGTTGGCCTATGAGTTTTATTCTGCAAGTCACTGGTGGTCATGATAACCATTAATGTGTGTTTGTATTGTTATTTACCAACTAAATAGCATTTGATATTCTTTTAATATGCTCTCGCCTGTTACCACATCTCTCACATGTGATGCAATAGGACACTCCCCCTGTATTAAAAGGGCCAAGAGTAAACGCCTTTTTTGTTGAACACATCTATAGAGTTGGCAGTTAATGCTAAACTTTGTCGAATAGCCCTTCCAAAATTATACTTGTGAAATATACAGAAAAATAAATTGATCTACTTAATTTGTATTGATTTAATTGCAGTTTTTGTCTCATTTAAATGTTATATTGTTTTTCAATATATTTTCTGAAGTTGGTCCCTTCAGCTTCTGTATACAGAAAGAATTGTACTCTCAAGTTTTGTTTTGATTTAAATAACTTGTTAATGAGATCCTAACAATTAACTTCTACATTTGTAAAGGCTTTGTGATTAAGGTAACATTAAATGTTTGCAGATTATGAGTTGCCTTCATGTCATGTATGAGGCACACTCGTACAGTAATATCAGAAATGAATGAGACAAGGAATTTACATTCTGAAAAGTTATATATAGAAAATATGTGTGTTTATTATATCTACAGAAAATGTGATGCAGGTAATAAGTATTACTTGCCTTAAGTAGAAATAAAGATCGAGGAAATCTAGAGGAATGAGTTATTCAACATGGGGATAAGTGGGATGAGTGGTGGATCGGGGAACTTTTACAGGTGGCTTTAAGAGATTGGTTGCTGTAGGCATGGCAGGCGGTGGGGGGAAGGGAAGACCTTTTTATTTATTTATAGTTTAATATATTTTAATAAACAGGAACAGCACAGAAGACAGACAACATTAAAAACATACTTATATGTAGGACAACTCAGAAAAGTATAGTGAATGGATAGAATCTACTGTATGATCAAATGCTATAAACACCATTTAGTTGCCATCAGTCAGAAATTTACTTGTTTTTAAAAAAATCCAAATGCTGGCATTGTCCAGAAAATTTTGTTTGTTTATATTGTTACAAAGTTGAACTGCTTGAAACTTGTTCACTGAAACACTTTGACTTACATTAATGCTTTATGTCTCCGCATTTATATTTTAGAAATTCACACACAAATTAAGATGGAAATATGGCCAATACCTGCTTTCTATCCCCTATTTTCCACTTGCAATCATATACTTAGGTACCTTTTTGACCCCATGGAAAAAAATATCTATTGTGCAGAACAACCATAACAGGAAGAAGGAATTTTTTTAAAAGAATGAAATGTTTCCCATCATAGTGGATTCTTAAGCACATTCTCCATGTATGTGGCATGCTAGCTGGATGTCTTTTGGCATAATTGTTAACACGTTTGGCATGGAGATAGCACACAGGTTGGTGTCTTCAAAAAGGCCAACGGGATAGGCTTCACTTGCGTCCTGCGAAGCACCAATAGCTGCGCTCTGGAAGCACAGATCTGTTTCAAAGTCCTAAGCAATTTCTTACACTAGACTCTGGAAGAGAAGTTCGCGAAGCAGTTCAGTGAACTTCTGATGGCGTCTAACTTTACGAAGTGCCAAAGTACCAGACCTGTAACGATGCAGTTTCTTCACCCCTCCAGTAGAGGGCGCACTCTTGCAAGAGGCTTTGGTAGCCATTTGTTTCCTCGGTGCTTTACTGCCGGTCGACTTGCGGGCAGTCTGCCTTGTACAAGCCATGGTATAGGGACCTCTTTACTTACCCACCTTCTTTGGCTAGAGCTTGGCGAACTGGACGAGGTGCTGGTATTAGAGAGCATCAGCAGCTGCGAACACCGGAAGAAGACCTTTTTAAATAAAGGAAATATATTCAAATAATCAAGGGATTGGGAAATGTGGACCTGTATAAGGAAGTTTAGCTGGAAAATGTGGCGTGTGAAGGAACTCTTGATATTTCACCCTGTCCTTTTCTCTAGCCTTCAACTTAGGTGCTCAGACCAACCTTGATTCCTCAAGCTGAGACCAACATGCACCAAAATCGACTAATTTTTTATTTCTCTCCACTGCTGCTAACATACTGTAAGACATTAATATTTCTGACCTGGATAACTGCTGTAGTTCTAACACATCACTTTTTATTCCTGCCTCCTCATTCATGCTGTGGCCTTAATCTATGCCCTCACACCACCCTGCTTCCATTCTTAACATACAACCTCTTAAGATGTCTCAAGCTCATTCCTGCTTCTGTTCAACACGTTTCTTTTCTATTAAACACTTCCCCTGGTTCATAGTTTGGCTGGCTATTTTTCATTCTCATCTCAGCTCAACTTTTAACTCCCTTAGAGGGAGGTCTAATTCATTATTGACTCTCTAGCACCTAGAAACAGCATATGCCTACTCAAGTGCTTGTTGAAGAAGTAAAATAAAATAGAATATTGGGTTGGAAATGTAAGTGGAAAACCAGATTAAGAACGTGGATACAGAGAACATGCTTGATTCTTCAGTTTCAGCCATGTGTAGTTTCATTGACATAGGACTTTATTCTCATTATTTCTGTGAATGAAGAAATGTCAAAGAGCTTAGGTCATAAACTTCACAACTGAAATTGGTATACCTGATATCCACGGTAGGATGTATTAACTATTGGCTGCTTCTCTGTTCTTGCATGTGATCATAACCTTACAAGCATTCTTTGTCTGATTCCCAAGGCTCTACTGACCCATTTCCAATAATTTAGGCTAACCGATGTATTGTCGGTTCTTGCTCTTCTGCATCTATACAAGCTAATATTTCTAATGGCAGTGTATAAATGAAAGTTGCCATTTGTTTAAATTACTGCTGAAACAATCACTGTAGGGTAGCCAAATTTTAACTTAACAATAAAGATCAGAAGTAGACACCAGTGGACAGCTTTCTGCCAGGCCACACTTGTAAGTTATAGAACAGAAACCTTTTGTATCTTCCTTAATTCTCAACTACTTTAATATCAACATTATGAGAAGTCTGATCACTATGGATGTGTTTGCTAAAAGGTAGACTAAACACATTAGGTTTTTTTCCTACTGATTGTGAGATCTGTGTTGAAAACTTGTATATGAGTTAGATCTATGGCTTGTGTTGCCAGCTGGGGTAATTGAGGTGGTCATACATAATATTATTCCTACTAAGTTTATTTTGACAGGTTTATATATCAACTTTTAGAAAACATTACACTTATTTCACACCTTGTAACTCCTGGGTATATTCTGTTACGATATTGCCACCTAATTGTAGTGTATGTCCATCCCCATGAGGGAAGTAGCTACAACAGTCAGAAGCAAAGGGAGGAAAAAGTTTCAATAAGAGGAAGATGATCTACAGTGTGGAGTGTAGCAGAGCAGCAAGAAGAGTAGGACCTGAGAAACTGCCAGCAGCTTTGGAAATTGGTTTCACTGATTGGAAAGAACGATTTCTGAGGAAAAGGTATGTATGGGCTTGGACAGAGAAATAGAAGAAGTACATAAACAACTAAAGATGGATTAGTGGTGAGGATGTTCTTTTGAGAGATTGTGAGGTGTGGAGAGAAGATGAAAATTTTGATTTTAAATGTAGGAAAGATTTAAGTATGGTTATAGGCAAAACAGATATGGAAGAAAAACACGAAGAGGAGGCAAGGACTAGAATCAAGAGCAGGTGAAGAGATCACCCTTGGCATGTCTTTCAAAGGATGGATGACCACAGTTCAGTGGGGGAAGGGGGCACTAGAGAAGCACTCACTGACCTGAGTCCCATCCAAGTGGTGAGACTATTTTCAAGACACCCAAATGGAACAAATGCAGGGCACCAGTCATAAGGTAAATATACAGGAAAAAATGATAGAAGTGATGGTTGGTTCTAAATTAAATTGTTAGGCTTGTTTTCCTGCTCCTATTAAAAGTATACTTGTATGTCATTCAGAACTCAAGTAGTATAGGAGGACATAATGAAAAGGTTTATAAAATTTTTTAATTTTAAGCATAGTTGACTGTTTTTCAAGACTGACGAAGATTTAACTCACAACACTTCCTACATTCCTCACATTCTCCTTCTCGGATCATAGTGTCACTCACTACTCATGGTTCCTTCATAGGCTTTTTTTTACAATGTCTAATAATGTATTTTCACTTTTATTGTATTGGCTGTCAACAGTATTTCTTAGCTTTCTAGTGTGTAAGATGACAATATTAACACTCCTATGTTTCCTTTTGACTCTCCTCCCTTTTCTCTCTCTTTTTTAAACACTTTATTTTTTTTTAGAAAGAGGGGAGGGGAGGGAGAAAGAGGGGACAGAAACCTCGACTGGTTGCCTCTCTCACACCCCCAGCTGGGGACCTGCAACCCAGGCATGTGCCCTGAAGGGGAACCAAACCTGCGACCTTTGGGTTTGCAGGCCGGCGCTCAATCCACTGAGCCACACCAGCCAGGGCTCTCCTCCCTTCACTCACTGTTTGTCATCTGTATTCTTACAATTACACTATGAAGGTTGATAACATTTACACTCTATTTTATGATCACTAATAGTCCTCAGCTGTATAGGCTGATAGATATAGTTCACTGCAGATCACAATTTATCTCTATGATTACATTTCCTTCTATAGCTTTCTGTTTTTCTTTGTGTTTTTTAATTATATTTTTCCGCTGGTCTTTTGGGTTCTATCATAGCCCAAAGGAGACAATTATTTTATGTCTCCTACCACCATGTCTAGTATTCTAGAGCCTTTTGCTCCAGAAAACTCTCCCCTGGAGACTACTTCTTCCTTGTTTCAAGCTGAACTTGTTGCTTTCCCACCCTAATACACAGTTTAGCTGCTGTCCTGAACAGATTGAATCCATTATTTTCTAGGTTCCATGTTTGACAGCCATTGCTTTTTGCCTTTGTCTTAGGTAAGATCCCCTAGAAGTAGAAGTTTGAAAAATTGTGTGAATAGTTGTAAGCATCATAAATATCTTTCTCCAACTTGTGTCTTCTTGTCTTGTATTCGTAGGGGTCTCTGTTGATACACTTCTAGTTATATTTCAGAAATATTTCAAACATACCTTTGCAAAAACTGAATATTCTCCTCCCTTGAGTGTTAGTTGTTCACCCTCTGATATGCAATAAGTACTTAACACTACTTTTATCATTCAGTCACAGTGCATTCTAATTGACTTCATTCAATTAGTTACTTCCTTTCCATAAAAGGTAATGTAATTACTTTGCTCTAGCACTTAGAGCACTATGTGCCTGGCCATAGTAAGTGCCCAATGTTTCTGTGAAGAAATTACACCCTTGAGATAGTAGCCATTCCCTTTCACCC